AATCATGTAACAATTATTATTTTACTCTATTAATAAAGATCGTGAGAAATGCCTCACTTAACATTAAAAAAAAAAATGTTACAGAATTGTACTAATATTTATATATGTATCAATTTTTACATATTTATATTTACAATATTCTAATTTGATTTAAAAATAATGTTTTTAAATTTTTTAATCATGGTTTTTTTACAAGATTGCAATAAAAAAATAAAATAACATCGTATTATCATATATATATACAGTATATAGTATCTATTTATAACAATATAAATATAACTATATTAATTAAATTTTATTCAAATAAAATTTTATTAGAATAGTATTACAAATTATTAATTAAAAAGTTTAAATTAGTCAATTACATTCAGAAATTTTCAATCATAACTAATTTATTCCATTTAAAAATTAATTAATTGGAAATACATAAGAAAATTGATCAAAAACATTCTTGTTAATTTTTTTAAATATATTTTGACTAATATATGAATCTATACAGTACTTTATAGATACAATTTTTATTTGAAAATATTTCACTAATGTCAAGTTAATTAAATTATAGAATTTTTTAATTTTTTATTTTAAAGACAAATTCCGGTTAATATCTAATATTTGGACAAGTAATTAAACAATTATATTAAACCATTGTAAATATATTCAATATATTTAACATTAGCAACTGAATTAAAATATCTTTTGAGCCTTATAACTTTTATATAATATCTAACAATCAAGCAAACATTTTATTATTTAAGATATTAAGTTAAACAAAAACTTGTAGACAATTTAATATAAGATTAAAACCTAGTTTTAATGTTAACCAATAACCCTGTCGTTTCTAAAACAATATTTTAATCAATTGTTTCACTTTTATTACCAAAACCTTTATTAAAGTAACTAATATACATTTTCAATCTACTGTAATTATAACATAATTAAAGCTGTAAGGAATCTTCTTATCTTTGAAACTTTTGAGAATTTTAGACTTCTTATTACCAATATAAAAAGAGATACATATAAAAAAAACAATATTATTTAACCCTAAATTATAAACTATCTTACTTTTTAATATATTCACTAACCTTATGCCAAATCCATAAATACCTTTTAAACATTACATGATTAGTAATTGGCCTACAGCACAGACTCGCCAAATTTACAGATGCAATATATACAGTATATACAGTACAGTGTATATAGATTTTTAATACAAGTAATACAGTTGTATTATAACGAATAAAAAATTTATTGCTACGGTTTATAACAAAATTTATCGTATACTGTCTAATTTACTCATATCCATGTGGCGTGTAAAAAAATTTTTTAAAAAAGATTATTTATTTCTATAAATCCACTTTCCATATAGAACTACCGTATTGCTTTTTTCGCAAGTCTGCCATAATTCTATAGCATACGTTACTTATATTCACACATCCCTTATATAACGAAATTTAAAATGCAAGTCAGAGATAAGAGTACAGGAGCATTATTGTGTAAATGAGATTATAAAATCTAGATACATTGTTAGAGTCAAATAATCATCTTCTTAAAATACAGTGTATAAAAATGCATTTTTAGCGGCAGACATATCTACGCTTTAAAAATAAACTTATCACTCTATCACCTCAATACGCCACTACGTAACATATTCATGTAATGAAATGAAAATTAGTAACATAACCTTCATACAATACATAAAAACATATCAAATACCTTGTTATTTTCATCATGTCCGTTTCCATTGCAAGAAACTTCTTGGGTTCCATCATCTAATAGAATATCGCGACTATAGAGTGGTTGATTATTGGTCGTGTTATGAGAGAGACTAATGATATCACCGTCCATCAGATAGCCCAAGTTGTCATAATCCTCATCAGGACTATATCGTCGAATAAGCCAGTCATCGTTAGCATCTCTGCCCAGATTAACGGTTACTACAAATCGAATAAATAATTTTAGCATGCAAAGTTAAACACAATAGAATGCGGTGCATTAACCCAATAATACCTTGCTGTTGACTTGATTTTATAGTGATTTTTCCATCAGACGTATCATGAGAATGTAAGTTTCCTCCTGTTGCTCGATGCTTAAACCCAATAAGAGTGTTAAAGGATATAAAGCCACCATCGTTTACGTTGTCGTTAAAACCTTCAATAACTGTCCAAACATCATTTTCCAAATCGATTGCATGACTAGTACAGATGGCCTTTTAAATAAAGTTTATATGTAATTAGCATATTGTCAATGAATAATGTAATTAATAGCAATCGTAATAATAAATACAGCATATTGCTGGGTTACGGGAGATGGAACTTTTTTGGTAGATAAGTATTTTCCAGTGGATACGTGAATGAAGGCGACCTTGGATCCGTACAAAATTGGTCTTTCAACCAATTTGATGTACCACTAAAAAGACATATATGTATATATTAATAGTAAATAATAAAAATGAATTTTGTCGACTTGACTTTAAAATTCAAAAATATACCTTATTATTTTCATTATGTCCATTCTCATTACAAGAAACCTCCTGAGAGCCATCATCTAATAGGATTTCATGACTGTAGAGTGCATTCATATTAGTAGTGTTGTGAAGGAGACTAATAGAGTTACTGTCCATCACCAAAAGACCAGAATCAGAAAAGTCAGTATTTGAGCTATAGTGTCTAATAGTCCAATTGTCGTCATCGTTATCACTCGGATATATCGTTACTAAAGTATAAAAAGCATAGTTAAACAAATGTTAAATAAAAAAGAAATGCATTGACCTGAGAATACCTTGTTGTTGATTGGATTTTGGAGTTGTCCCAAAACTTGCAGTATGGGAGTGTAAATTTCCCCTCGTTGCCTGATGCTTTAATCTGACAACAGTTCCATAAGGCACTGATTCTCCAAATTGGGTTATTGTACCATGAGTTCCGATAACAGTCCAAAGGTCATTTTTGGGATCGATTTCTTGACCAGTACAAACGACCTGTGAATTAAATAATAGTGTTGGTTGATAAAAAAAACACCAAACCAAGTTAGAAAAATTATTATCGTCATAATTATTAGTCACCATAAGTTGCGTATTTCCTGGAGCTACGACTCCTTTTGTAGATAAATATTTTCCTGTGGATGCGTGAATAAAAGCGACCGTCGATCCATATTTAACCGGATTGGCAATTATTTCGATGCGCCACTGATATAAATCAAATAAAATTAAGTAAAATAAAATACCAGATGTGTAAGCTTTTCCTTAAACATTATACCTTATTATTTTCATCACTTCCACTTCCATAGCAAGAAACCTCTTGGGTTCCATTGTCTAATAAGACACCATGACTATAAAGTGGAGGCTTATCAGTCGTAACATGAAGCAGATTAACAACATCACCGTCTGCCAGAATGCCCGAAGCATCATCGACAGTGTCGGAACTATGTGGTCGGACAATCCAATCATCGTCTTTGTTTATGTCCAAGCAGATAGTTACTAAGCGTTTCGAAAGTATTTGAAGACTAGTTATTATTTTTGAATTGAGAATTTATTGTATGTTAATCAATCTGAAAGTACCTTGCTGTTGACTCGATTTTTGAGTAAAATGTATTCCAGAATTTGAGTGGGAATGCAAATTTCCTCCTGCTTCGTTATGCTTGAATCCAATAACAGTGTTAAATGGAATAGTACCTCCTTCTGTTACATCTGAACCATTTGCTCCGATAACCGTCCATATTCTAGTTTTTATGTCCCCCTTATTATCGTCTACACCAGCAACCTTTATAATGATGTTATCGAATTGAGTGACAAAATTTGTTAAATTATTAAATAATATATAGTTACTTACTACATATTGTTGGCTTGATTGATACTTATCGCCCCTAGTAGTCAAATACTTATTTGTGGGCTCGTGAATAATGGCTACTTGCGATCCATACGTAATAGGTGGTTTTCGTTCTAAATAACAATATAAGACATCAAGTTATTATCTATTTGAACATCAAATTATTTCATTATCTTTTCTACTTCACCTTTACCATCACTACCTCCACCATCTTTTCGCAAATATCTGGCAATCGCAGCAGCAGCTGCTGCCAATACCACCGCAGATGCGGCAGCCGCACCCGCAATTGCCAAGTTTGATGTTGATGATGAAGAGTTTTGATTACTTTGGTCTGTGGATGTCGAAGTTTCGGTAGATGTTGATGTCGTACTTGTCTCAGTTGTCATCGAACTTGTTGATATTGAATATGTATTTGTTTGCTCAGTGTAAAGCCATATGTAATATTCGCTTTCGGCTTCCAGTAAGTAAACGCTACTCGACGCTCCTTGACCAATCATATATCCTTTTTTATTTTGATAACGATGTTATAATTAACATTTTTCAATAAAATAAACATCATCTAAGTCTGAACACTTGCCAAATCCAATGATCATGTAATCACCGACCAGATCGGCGGTATGAAATATAAGTTCCGAAGGCCAAGTGCCATAAGCATCTGGTTCCGACCATGAAAAAGGAGACACAGTTGTATCCAAAATTTCTATTTGAGAACTATTACTAGAGCTATCTGTCAAATTTCCACCATAAACCACTATTTGCTCTTCCGAAGCTGATGGTATAAATATTTTTAGCGAATGTGTAAACCCTATATATGGGTGAAGTTTTGTTAAGGATTTGCTTACTAATAATTGCGGAATGTCCTTCGCGAGGACTTGGAATAGAACCTTGTGCAGTCTAGTATATAAAAGAAATTAAAAAAAAACTTAAGTATTTAAATAACACACAATCACAAGCATACCATTGTACTCCATTCATCCGATATCGTATCATAAAGATTTAACTGTTAATTCAAAAATTTTAATTATTCAAGATAGATAATAAGTTTGACTTTAAGAAAAAATTACTTATTAAACCTCTGAGAATGGAACTAGCGTTAGGTTTTCATACGCTCCCCCAATATATACGATTTTGCCATCCGGCAACAGCGTGGCAGTAAAAGCTCCCCTTGGTGAAGGTGCATTATCGCTGGATCCGTAGCTCCAGGACCAATTAATAGTATCCAATATTATAATATCATTAAAATATTCTGAACCCGAGTAATCCGTAAGTTGATCGGCATATCCACCAAATATATACATCTTTCCTTGTGAATCAATCACAGCATGTGTTGACCTTCTACGTATCGGGGCTACTCCGGAAATTGTAGGTTTTGACCACGTCTTATTTATTGTGTCATACACCAAAACTAGGCTACTATTATCTGGCGACATATGACCACCAAATAGTATAAACTGGGTGTTATTTACTCCACCGGCCACTGCAGTTCCCCAACACGTATAAGTAACGCCAGTGCTAGTAAGATCAGTCCACGGAAGATCATCATCGGTTGAAGAAAATGGAATGACTGAAACATCAAGGTAGAAAAAATCGGAGGTAGTCGAACTTTCCGAAGTGGAAGTAATTCCCCCACAATAATATAACTTTCTCCCTATTAAAGCCGATGTGTGCGCGTAACGTGAAGCGGGCGTATAGCTATTCGCATGCGTTAAAAAGCAACAACTCAATGTTAATACAAAACAAAACCAACGAGACCAACGTATAAGTTGACTTGACATTTTAGTCGCGTTTTAAAAAAAATGACGATAGTACAGATATTTCAAAAAGAACAAGAAAATTATATCAATAAGAATCGAATACACACCATTTAAAATGTCAATTCGATTACATGTTTTAATCGAAAAAAAAAAAAAAAATTAAACAATTCTTCTATTTTGAAATGTAAATATTTATTAAACAATATGCCAAAAACATTCTCTTGCGCCTCACAAGCCTTGTAAAGAGAAGTATTCGAGAACTTTGACTCTCTTGTATTGAAATAGTCATTTTTTTGCATATGTACCATATTCTTATCGGATAGATTAAATTCATTTCATAACCTAAAATCAATTCATGTACGCATATTTTAAATTTGTCGAAAATATATTCCTTTTAGTCTTCATAAAACGAAATTATTTATAAAGTAGTTCCGTCCTACGACTGCTCAAAGAGAAGAATTTTTTATTTTCCGAGAACCAGGATTACTAATGTACACAGTACAATGACAGTGGCTACAATTATTTATCACAAACATTAAGGTGGCAAAGTGTCAATTAAATTACAGCATTTGATCCTGGTCGTTTTACGATCGGTAAGGCTTTAACCACCGCCTCGAAAGGGTATTACCGAGGAAAAAAAAAATATTGTCGAATAGTAATCCTTAAGAATCATTGTCCGTAGCACCAATCCATTATGAATTTTGACCTTCGAGACACGTACTTTTTTTCAAGGGCTGTAAATCGACATCCGGCTTAGCTTTAAAGAAGCTGTCTGTGCACATACAAGCCACTGCTTATAGGTTTTACAAACACAATATAATTTACGTAAGTGAGGCAAAGCAATCCATAATAGTTGAGTTTAAATGAATTTCTAGTAAATATTTATGTTTTTTCTTCAGTAAACATAATTACTCGTATGTATAAGCATTTTTGGATGGCGTAATGCCACGGTTGATCGCACTTTCATCGGTACATCTGTTGGATAAACGTATCAAAATGTTACCTTTTGACGACTCTACTTATGGTGAATCGATCAATTTTATTCAGTTATCCATACATGTATATTTCTTTTTAGATAAGGACTGAGGAAATAAATGGTAAATATAGTTGAGAATGATTTTTGCAGGAGGTCATCACTAAGGAACACGTGTTATTTCCGGAAATATCGAAAGATGCCACCCGCATAAAATGATGACGTGTTATATGGACTGATCTTGACAGCAATATTAATTGCTATAGCGTATGGTTTTACGGTATTTTTTAAATATTTATTATAATAAAGGAAATAAATTAAAAATTTAACATATTCGTAATACAGTATTTATTATAACAAAGCAAATCCAGTAAATTAAAAATTTAATACATCTGTAATATTTTATTCTTTGATCATTGCAATAATCACAAACTCTTAAAATGAGTAAATATGACCGAATTAAGAGCATATGGTCATAGAGCATGTATATTTGGTATTTTATTTTATTTTATTCTTTTTTTTTTTTGTTTTTTTTTTGTTTTTTTTAAGTTTTTTTTTTTAATTTTATTTTTTTAAATAATATAAAATAAAATAAAAATATTATATTTATTTTAAATGATTGTAACATATCAAAACACCTGACAATGAGTTTATAAAGTTGTATGTAATCCTTAAATCCATAATAATAAGATCATTGTATTGTCCATATAATCTAATTATTCTTTAATTGTCTTACTACAAGAAGCAAGTTTATTAAATTATTATTATGTAATAGTACCCATTCAAGAATTTCCAAATCTTTACAACTTTTTAAATGTAATCAAGAAAAATAAAATGATGTTTTTTCAAGGCAAAATATCAAAACCTTGGTCTAAAACATTATTGCCAGCCTATGTTTTAAATTATTATTTTACTTATCCTATAATTTTTAAAATAAAAATTTTATTTTTGTAAAATAAAAAAAAAGTTTGTGTTGATTAAAAAC